ATTGTAGAATTATGAGAGTACGGTAGAAAGAATCTAAATGCATTTCATAAGTTTAACGTTATGCGTTAAAAGTTCAGCAAGCTATATTTGGTACGACAGGGTAAGGACAGGGTATCTCCCAGATGTTTTTCCCAAATAAAGCATAACTTATCACAGAGAACAACTTTAACTACTCAGTCATGCTGAGGAGATGTCAGGGTTATAGAATACTATGCATGTACGCTGAACATAGGATAATTTGAATGAACACTTAATACCCGTCTTCTGGGTTTGACAGGAAAGAGTATAATGGATTGAAAACAGAGTTTACATTGATGGTTAATTTTCATTTCCACTCATAAGTGATATTGCAATATATAACGAATAAGTTTAAAATTCAGGAGAACAAAAATTTTGACAATTCACAAGAAAATAAAAAGCCAGTTGTATTAAACTCAACAAGTGTTGCAAAAAACAACGAAATTAAAGGGATTAAATTGAGCAAAACACTGAGAAATGCGATGCTCATGATGGAAAATGGTGTGAAATTCAGATACGAAGTCGAGATATGCGTCGCATATCCCGAACAATCTTACATTACGAAGATCCCAGTAACGATAGCACAACTGTGGATTTGGTCCTTATACATTCCACATAAAAGTTATTTTAGGGAATCATAAATTTACAAATATACTTCTATATATGTTTCAGACACTAAAGTGATCTACATCTATCACTACCCTACTACAGATCATTTAGAAGCAAATTATGCACAGCATAATATATAATATATAGGGTATCCAGCAAATTTTGAGACTTTGCAGACGATTTTTAAAATTTATCCTTACCAGAATAATCTAGATTATACAGCATTAAAAGGATGTATAAGGCAATCTTTTATAATACAACTATCTCCTTTGAGCGCTATTCAAATTGACAGAGACCTTTCAAAGATGTCCAGCCAGAGACTTCAACTTCAACCATTTTTTCAAAAAACCCAAACCATAAATTCAGCCATTGCCACTTAGAAAGTACACCAAACGTTAGGGAATGACACCTTCTTAAGCAACAACTGCGCAAGACAACTAGCAGTTCTTAGAAGGAAGAGTTATTGTCAAGAATTACAGCGCATAACTTAAGATTGCACG